ACGATCTATAACACAATTTTTTCTGTGTGTGTGGGAGAACGTGGGAAAACGATCATGATATTGATAACATCATAATTCCATCCAGATGTATAGCAGTGAAGAACCCCCCTCAAAAAGAAATAACCCATCGTATTTCATATCTTGTTTTGCCTAAAGCACTTCTGGTCAACCAAAGTAAATGAAGTTAGTTTAAGGATTTACATACTGCTGGGAATACCTTAAATATGGTCGAAGTTTTATAACATATGATAATTCGAAATGCTCTCTTTTCAAAAAACAAACATCTCGAGGTCAAAAATGTGCTGATATTAGTGACTAATTGCTGCTTCATTGTGCTAATGCTGTGCTAATTGTTCAATCGTTCTTGTGTTAACCATATTGTTTGTGATTAGATTGGTGTTTTATTTTTATTTAATGAACAAAGACTCGCAGTAGCAGAAGTTAAATTAAAAGTCAACTGGCTTTCATTAGCTACTGTCTGGCTCTTCAAGCAATTACAATGATACTGGACATTATATTGTCACTAGTGCATTAGTGTCACTTTATCCGTGCTACCCACTGAAATGAGATTTGTTTTTCAAAAGTCCCCCGAAACGTGTCTTTCAGTCTCAAAAACACGTGTCCCATTGACATCAAAAGCTTTCTCTTAAGCTTAATTGCAACCATTCAAATTCTTACAAACGGCTTTGGATTTTCGTGCAACTGAGTAAAAACAGAAAAATTTTTTTCTAATTGGGTGGCCATTCTTTGGTATAAAAATTCAGACAAGTTTGACACACAATACCTGATCTTGTCATTTGGACAAACTTTCTCACGCTAGATTGAAAGATTTCGTGAGTAACGTTGACTCTATTAATAGTTCTTTGTGAGTTTTGAAATCCAGAATAGTTTTTGTTAGGCAGTAAAAATATTTGTCTTTCCGATCTGGTGACGAATGATGTCCATTTCAGCTTTTATCGCATTCATATAACAAAGCAACACAAACAAGCAAATGGATTTTAGAAAACTGATTCAATCTATTAACGTGCCTCCATTGTAAGGCCTTTGTTGAATCTGTCTCTCTTTATTTCACTCATCTTGAACTTCATTCTCTCAGCTTTATTAGAAAAGGTGATCATCACCATCGACTACAAAGGAATTAGCGTTTTATCCCTTTCTAGCTGGTCGCCTAAGATGATTTGTGTATTTAAGTTTTGTTTTAAGGCAGAACAAGGCGTGGTCCTTTGTTTGATGCATGACAGCTTTTTGGAGACATAAAACCTTTGCGTTTGGTTAGAAATGCAATACACCGACAACAAAAATGTTCTGCGTTTTGCTACCACTTGAACATGTCAGGTGAAAAATCCGGAACATTTCTTACCTCAGAAGGTACAGAGACAGTTGGAAAAGTTTCGGTTTTCTTGAAAATCTTGGCACCCAGCAAGGACTTGGCTGTCATCACCTCTTTATTTCCAATTTCATTAGTGTAAATGAGTCTAATGAGTGCTCGTTTCAGTAACCTCAATAACCACACTAAAGTGATAAATCTAAATGAAACCCAAAGCAGCTGCCATTTCTGAATGGAAGAGGAAATGAAAGGCAGTAATTCTGTGTTTTACAGAGCCTTTGTCCTGGAGGTGTACACCACTAGAGATTTTCAAGTTCTCATTTCCGATTTTTGTTACTCTACTCTTGAAGAAAAGTATTCAAATGGTCTTTTCTGGATTAAACGGATTTACAACTTAAAAACAAATTTGATATCATTCTTTTAGAGAAAACAAGAAAACGAAATTATAATTCAACTCTTGCCACATGTTCGCCTATCTAGTGAACCGTTCTTAGATCTTTTATAGTCACACAAAGCTTCTGAAATTTTTTTTAAGTTGGAGTTCAAGTCTGTAGGATTTTTTTTCACACTTTCAAACCACAATAAAGTAAAAAAGATTAAAATCCCTTTTAACATGAAGCATGTTTTATTTTATAAAAACAAATCAAACCATTATGATATATAGCTACAGGGATATTACCAATTTGATATTCTTCAATAAAGCGAAAAAAAAAAACGTTTAAAGAAGAAATATGGCTTAAAAGGACTCGTGAAAGATGGTCAGACTGATTGTTTTTGACAAATTTAGGTTTTGTCTTGCCATAAAGACTTTGTAATATTGGCTTTTGGTACTTGAGTACAAAATATCCCATCATAAGTTTCCAAATGACATAGAACCTGCCTCAAATACCTTGAAGAAGGGTTTGCACATAGTATTTGCCCCTCTTTACAGCAAAAGTGCTATACAGATACAAGAAACGTACGGTGCTGGAGCAAACATTTAACACCCTTTTAGGCTATGACTTTTGAGACATAAAATCCTCAAAGATAAGTCTTGAACTCTTTCTAAAATCTATCTCAAAATTCAGTCGTTTACACGTTTCTCCATACTGTGTAGTTTGAAGCCCTAAGAATTGAAAACAACGTTTGAAAAATGTATGCCCATTTTTTTTTTCAGACAAAACATTTTAGTTATCTCAAAAATCATTCGTAAACACGTTGGTATAAAACGACAAGGAGACGATGTATTGCGGGTCAATAAGTTTACCGATTAAACATATAAAGATATGTTTTCATAGAAAAGACAACTAATACTGATTCATGATCACTTGTTGTAACTGAAAGTTATAAATTACACGTACATGTTGTACAGACTTGTATTGCAGCACAAACATTGCGTATGGGTTTGTGCTTGTTATACGAAACATGTTCCGTTGGCCTTCGTAAAGCGGCATGTTGTGGTCTATAAGAGGAAATTACCACAGCAAAGTAATTTTGATCGAGTATAATTGAAACTCTAGAGAATACACCGATACCCTGAGGAATTTTCCTTCACAGCTAACTATGTATATATTCTATACTCTCAAGGTTTGGGTTACAAATCTATTGCAAACCAGTAAAAAGTTAAAAAGAAAACACATGGTATAAAGCTATTATAAGAAAGCTACAAATCCCTTTGTAACAGTTCAGCTTCTTAACGAAAGGCGAACTCGATCGATTTTTGGTTATTGATACTCCTATCCAATGTTTCGACATATCACTGCCATAACATCTTTGCATAGGCCTATATTTACTCTTTTTCCATTTCTGTTTCAAAGATTTACGGTGGCTCACAAAAATGTCACGAGAATTCATTCTTGTCCTTTCCTATCACGTTAACTGACTGTGGGTGTCTCATCAGTTTTCATATGTAACCATCACATAACCAAATTTAATGAAATAACCCCCTTCTTTGACACATAGACAAGTATAAACTTCAAGTTTTATTCATTCCACCAATTTCTTTAAAAAATAACTCGCACCTTGAAATTTTGTTTTGATAATAAGGATTTCTTTGGGGAACGTAAAATTCGAAGGCGTCTTAGTGTTCGACGGGAATCCAGGAGCCCGAAACGTTTGTCAAAAAAATTGATGTTTTCTCTTGAATTAGTTAGTTCTCTGGGATAATTTTTTCACAAGCACGATCAGAGAAGAAAGAACTTCAGAGTTGTGGTTTAGATTGTGGCCTTTAATCCGAGCTGTTTTTGGTCGTGCTATACATGTTCACGGAGACAAAGCGATTTTCATATCAAAGCATATGTTCTAGCGATAGGAAATGCTTGTGACATCAGTAATGGTTATTGCTGTTACCCCATGTCAGATCCGCTCGGCAATTGTACACAGAAACAAGAAAAGATATAATCAGGCAGTGTTAACCACAGATGCTCAATGTGGTCGAAATTTATTTCAAACCTGAGATAGGCGTTGAATTCAGAGCCAAAACATTAGCCACAACCGTTTCCTAGGTTGAGAATCCTTCGTGTGTTATGTCGTTTACAGAGACAGAATACTCAACAACGATTTTTCAGGCTGAAAGATTAACTTTGTTTAATCATAACCTAGGGATGCTATGTACACCATTTAATGGAGATAACGGGACATTGCGAAAATAAAAGTTGTAAATTGCTCGCTAAGCCAGCAATGTTCGACCTATTTGCTGACCGAGACAAAAACAAATTTTCGCCCTTCTCTCTGAGCGTCAACCACTTCAATAGTTTTATTCGTACAAGGGCGCAACTTCCGTAAATATCACTTTGATACAATAGATACGTTGTCGTTTCCGTTGTTTGATCGCCTTCAGAAATCGGGCTCAGCGCGTTAGATCGTAACGACTTAGTGTAAGCAGACGAGAGCGCGATGTGCTCAAAAACCGCTACAGGATGAAAGCATCAACGAACAAAAAGGCCACGAGATGTTTGAATGGCAACTCGGCTACCTGATCATTTCACAAATAAACATAAAATCTTAATAACATTGGTGCCTAGGTCTTGCCTTGCTCACCTGCAGTAATATGTGATAAAAAGGAAAAGATAAGCTCGGAAAACAATTAATTTAATATTCTTCTTTTCGATTCTTTTAAACATGCTGTGGTATTTCTTTAATTAAGTGTCGCATTGTGCTCTACTATGCAAAGAAACAGATCGCTCGAACTGACTAGGTTAAGAAGCTGTTCGCAATAATCCATGCTCTGCTCCCGTGCTGCTGAAATCGAAAGCTTGCAACTGGACAAATGCACAGCCATATAGTGTTATTATTGATCGAAAACGAGAGTGGATTACTTACGACAGTTGAGGTTTTAATCAGCCATATTTTCCTCTGCGGTTGGCAAAGCAGAAGGCAGTCATAAACAGCCAAATTTGTCCTTTTGTTAATGTACCTCACGATCAGCGAGATAAAATCACAAATGTTAAAGTTTATCGCTTTTCTGTTACGATTCTGTGTGGAGGAAAGCTGTTTAAAAATATACCCGTTTTTTTTAATAAAACCCATAAATTTTTTATGATACTTTTTACGTGTGAAATACACTTAGTATCTGCCACATAATGCCGTAGAAATGAGTAATCTCGAATAAATCAGAAAACCACCTTCCATGACACAAGCTTGAGATAGCGAGTTGTTCCCACTAAGATTTTAAATTTCTTCTTATCTTCCTTACCTAACACAGGTAGTCTTTCTCTTTGTTCCGTTTCGTGTCGTGCGAGTATTTGGTCTACGCCAAAGCTTAACTGTTGATAATTTGGTATCGGGGTTGATGCACCAATTCCACTGCTAGTTTCGGACCGGGATACTTGTGGTCGCGCTAAAATATCGTCAATTCTGAACGACGCCATGCTGTTCTTTGCTAGTAAATCCAAGTTAAAACTCGTGCTTCAGCTAAGTTGCCGTTGTTAGCTGGCCAACGAGAAGTTTGTAAAGCTATGGGTTGCGAAGATAGCAAAGACAAAGAGGTTCATCAAATGTCGATCTTCAATGGCCCACGGGGAGCTAAAAATGACACGACGTTGTTGATTGTCACTTCGAGTTCCATTAGCGTTGATTTGTTGATTTTTATCATCTTAGCTTTTCTTTGTCAATTGGAGACATATACATATATACGTAATGTGTTTCCTGAATAATGCTTTTTGAGGAATGGTTTCGATTGATATCTGTGTTCACAGATGGGACGGGATAGACATATAACACGCAAAATGGGCTGTGGACGTTTCTCATATCGCCCGCAATCCCCACAGATTAGTAAAAGATTCCGTTGTTTATAATCCAGTTATCTTGGGACTTTTGATCAACACAGAATTAAATTTTCCGAACCCTGAGCTCTGCTGATTGGGTAAAAAAAGGAAAAGGACAGGGAACAGCCCTTAAAACAACTAATATTTTCAATTTACGGTGAAGAAATCACCGTCAAAATATCTCGCTTATCTCATATCTTATGGTGTCGAGTTTACACGGATGGCCATTGGGAGTCAATTATCACCCATTTAAGGTATTAGATTCACGTATGTTCATTTACACAGCCACACACGTGTATTAATATATCCTTTGGCTTAATTAATTCCTCACTCCATCACTGCATGTGTGTTTTTCATGTAGATGGAAAAGATAGAGGTGTTTAACTTTGCATTAAACCGTTGTGCTCGAGACTGTGTTGCTCTTCTGATATTTTCTTTTCAAACAGCTATGTAAAGTCAACAACAGCAAATATCTCGTTGCCCACGAGTATTTTCCTCGTTTACGATTTATGGGGTTTTCTCTAAGGCGATAATTCAATTATCGCATGATTAAGATGGAATATGATCCGAAGCTTTAAAAACTAATCGCCAGAAAACTGTCCTTGCCAATCTTATTACTTTGTGTCCATATCCTGATGCAGTGCCAAGTTAGTGAGCTAATGTAGAATGGTTAAAGTCAGGATAAGTCTCTTATAAAAGTCAAACGAGCACCGATCTTGTTTGTTAATAACCCATCGGGCAAGATGCCCGACCAAACACGAGTTATCACAGATACAAGCAGTCAATGTTATTTTAAGAGAACGTCGGCATGATTATGATCGGTGTTTAAAGGTCTTTTAAGATACGAAACTGGTTTCAATAACTATGAAAATGTATTTAATCTTTTAAGCAGGTATTCTTGTTTGTATCGGATTATATAAATCGCTTGGAGAGGTATTCAACCATTTTCAGCCGCGCTGGCTGTTTCGCTGGTACATTATCACGCCCAGGTCTCTGATGCCTTTGATCGAATTCTGCACGCTATGTTTTTGTTGCGTTTAAGAAAATATTATCGGTATGATTTGAAAAAAGAACTCTCCATATTGATGCCTGATCGGTCATGACAACAGAATTTGATTGCGTGAATGTAGCAGGTCAATTTCATCAATATCCTAACATGTCAATTTCTATGACGGAGGGCATGTTATATGACAATTTATCTCTTTAAATCAGCGAGTGACTCTCTCACATAACATTCATATTTCAGTGGGGAGTTTGTGCGAAATTTATGTCTAGGATGGGGCACTGTACTGAAAGAAATGTAACACATAATATAATAGAGAATTACTGACTGAAATAGATGAAACAACCATCAAACAGGATTCCTCTATTATTTAGTACTTGACAACTTCTCATGTTTGACTGGTTTCGCCAACTTTATGAATTAAACCAGTTTAAGCAGTTATATCGCCGTGGCAGGAGTGTCTTCAGTTTCACAGTCATTTAAGTCCACTTTACAAACAGCCACCTACTAGATCGGGTTTACCTCCTTTGTCTGTTCTGGCTAGCCAACATTTTTTCCGAGAAAATTTCCTGGATACCAAAAAGCTGTTAAGTTGTGGACAGTCAGCAGACTTCATTCAAGGTTATGTTTAAAATTGGTATATTAACGGGAAGGTAGAAAATATTTGTCTTTGTATACCGTAACTTTTCAATACAGTGGCTCTAAAACGTTTAATTTTTTTTGAAATGCTTTACATTCTTGATCTGACCTTTCATTGAAAATCTTTGTAACCTTTACATTTTTAACCGGCCTTATGTATTCTCATACGAAAAATTCATGTCAAAGCTTTCAAAACAACATGTGTCAACAACGCAACCACGCCAGCGCCTAAGTCACAGTCACGTAAAGAACTCACTTCGAGTACCTTGTCGAAGTTTCCTAAGTTAATTATCCAGTGAATAATTCACACAGAAGAACAGGGAAACGCTTTTGTAACAGTTGTTCAGACGCCTGTTTAAAATGCTTCATGCAGCGGAAATATTAATGGAATCTCGCACAGTTAGTTTGTATTTCTCAATGTTTGCTCCATGGAATCTTGAGAGAACAACAGTTTATGGAGATTCGTCCGGTAATGTTTGCGTTCTGTTGTCGTATGGTGAACTAACTCTAGGTAGAACAGATGTTGCGCTACTCTCAGGGTAAACAATGAATTTACTCTTTTTACAAAAGAAGATGATGAACTTATTATAAATCTTTTCACCTGCTTGGCAAGTCAAAAGTTTCAAATCCGGTTTTTCGAAAGGGTGACAAGTTCAATGACACAGTCTGCTGTCAAAGAAACGAGCACAGTTCTACCCTATTTACACTCTGTTTTGTACTCCCATCATCTGCTTGCCAAATCTTCCGTCTTACAAATATCGCAACAATTTTAAGTCCACGTCCCCTTGTCCGAAAGTTTTGTCTTGCTTTGCACTTGCAATTACTTAAGAACACGAAACGAGCTGAGACTGAATTGCAACAACATCACATGGTACATAGTTACTTGACTAACTTGCCTTGTCTGAATATAATAAAGATCCCTTGAAAGTATTTCAATTAATTCACGTGGTTTTGACGTGGCACAAAAGACAAAAGAGCAGCGTTTTGGAATTGACTCAGCTGTTTTTACGTCATGTGAAAAATACAGTCTGGGTAAAGAGATATAGGCAAAATCTTCTCATCTAACAATGGAACCAGTGGCAGCAAGTGAATTACATTCAAATGGATTGAAAGACATATTTATCTTTTACTCGACTATTTCACCTTCCTTTTATTTACAGAGGAACACATATTCTTCTTCATGAAGTTTAATTTACCATAATGAGACACGTACAAAATCTTATCAAAAGAGATCTGTCAAATTCCGGGAGAAATGTTTGACTGTCCTCGTTGTGATATGACCCAATGTTTACAACGTAAATTTTTTCATCCGGCCCTGATAATTTTTTTCCAGTGGGCCTGTTCTACCCAAAATTTGCGTCGTTCCACTGAACGAACCATTCCATTGCCGAAAAAACTCAGTTTTGCCTGTCTAATTCAACAGACAACTCAGTTTTGCTATTTTTCAGCAGCCTGTTCTTAATCTCTAACCTGACAACCTTATAAGCAATAAAACAGTGACAATTTCTTGAGTGGGTTTACTCGTAAATTTAGTTATGTCTCCCTCC